ACTGTATAATAATGGTCATTACTACCAAAATACTGCACATTGATGGGTTGTTAATAGATTAATACAAAAATACTGCCAATTACTATACATTAATACAAAAATACTGCCAATTGATGGGTCATTAACACATTAATACAAAAATACTGCCAATTGATGGGTCATTAATACATTAATACAAAAAAACTGCCAATTAATGGGTCATTAATATATCAAACAAGAAAACTGCCAATTAATGGGTCATTAATATACCAAACAAGAAACATAAATCGAAAAAAAAAACTATTTTTACAAATAGTTTAAAGAAATTTCGTCCCCAATTTGTTGATAAGAAATTAGTATCTTAAATCTTTTAATCAAGATTTAAAATGCTGTATTAAAATTATTTCTGCTCTGATAACTCTGCTCTAATGATCACAATCTTACTTATATGTCCAATAGAAATAAAATAAAACAAAAATACTGCACTTAATTAATAGGACGACACCGCAGCCAAAAATTAATTAAAATGTGCACCATTTTTTACTGCACAAAAAGTAGTATTGCTAATATCGTTCAAATGTTGACACACTTTTTCAATCGCAGCACGAACAGATTACGGACGTAGCACAGATACGCACTATTACCAAGGCAAACTGAGACACGAAAAGGAAATTAATAATTATTAATATAATTATTAATTATTAATTAATAATTAATTAATATTAATTAATATTTAGACTTCGATATCTTTTAGTGTATGCTGGTGAAATATCAGTATGTGCATATGCAACATATTAGTAAAGTTTAGTGTAGGGTGGTTAAATATCAATACGCAACATGTTGGTAAAGATCAATGTTAGAATGCGAAGTCATAATTTTGTGACTTTATTTTTCAATTAAAATATTATAGTGTGATGTGTTACAGTATACAGTATATTACCTGTCTCTTATACACATCTAGATGTGTATAAGAGACAGCCTCATATTAATCCTTTAATAGCACAGCCGTTCTCTATTGCCACATGATTGGCCGCCAGTGGAGACATGTAGTTATTTTCTCTAATTAATGAACATCAAACAGACAGGCACTTTTTATTATCATTGCTTTGTAAATCATCTGTAAAGCACACTTACTTGAAGCTTTTAAAAGAGGAGAGACTCAGGACGCTGACCGATATAGGGATTCGGACTGACTGGACTGCGGTGTTTGAGTTTTCAGAGCCATATTAAAAACATTTTTAAAATATGTCCGTATAACTTAATGAACTGCACGAGTATTCTTCAATTTGCACTACCTTGTTAAAAAAGCTTTATAGTGTACATATTTATCTAACTGATGTAATGAAATATATATATATATTTTTTTTTGCATGCCATCTTGAAAATTTTGTCGGGATTTGGAACTACAGCCCTACGGTAATTTCAGTTTTTAACAGACCAATTCAAGGCCACGTGTTCTCTCGCAATATGGAAACTCATTTGCGCCGAAGAAAGGTAATCAGACCAGTCAGATAATTTTATTGGTACCTTTAATAATTGGTCATTAAATAACTAGAGCTAAGCACGCTCTGGTGCAGAAGCCCCCAGTATTAAATAACTCGGCCTTAATCCTTCAATAGAATTTGTTTTGGTAGAAGACAGTATCCGCACCGGCCTTAATCATTCAATAACATTTGTTTTCCTACAAGATAATATTCGTCTGAATGGAGCGCTGAATNCGTCTTGTCGCGTCAGTACTTATCTCAAAATGCAACTATTATTGGTATTTCTCATCAAAAGGTTCATTAAAAGGGGCAGTGAATGAGGATTTTACATTTTATACTCTTATATACACCTATATACGATTATATACGCGCCTCTATATACGCCTATATAACATTTTTTTGGTGAAAAAATTTGATCTAGGGCTAATCTGATCCGAGTTTGTGGTACATGAACTGGCAGTACCGAGCCGGGACTGAGTCACTCAGCACGCTTATAACTTAGTATGTCTACATCTTACTGAGTCAGCGGCCATACTTTCAAAACTCGCTAAGTGAACGTAAGTACTTACGCTCTATTTTCTTGTCTATGATTGGTGAATTTGGCTCGAAAGGCCGCCAATGATTGGCTGATGAACTTACGATCTCTTAACTTTTTTTGAAAGTATAGGCCCTGGACTAAGTCGCTCAGCACGCTTATAACTTAGTATGTCTGCATCTTACTGAGTCTGTACTGAGTCACTCAGCACGCTTGTAACTTAGTATGTCTACTTAAATGGTGCGAGCTGACCTCTTAAATGGTGCGAGCTGACCCCTTAAATGGTGCGAGCTGACGTCTTAAATGGTACGAGCTGACCTCTTAAATGGTGCGAGCTGACCTCTTAAAAGGTACGAGCTGACCTCTTAAATAGTGCGAGCTGACCTCTTAAATGGTGCGAGCTTACCTCTTGAATGGAGCGAGCTGACCTCTTAAATGGTGCGAGCTTACCTCTTAAATGGTGCAAGAACAATCGGATGCTCTGAGTCTGGACTTACTCAGTCTGGACTTGATTGTAACTCGACATATCGAAAATTAGTAAGCCATGAACTTATTAATAATGGCTACAAAATTCTTATTTAATTAGCATTTACGTGAATTTCCTAGAGACATATCTAGAAGTTTAATGTACACAAAATTTTTAATTTAAATTTAATGAATATAACCTTCATAAGTGGGAAACTGTAGTAGAAACTCCTTGACCACGGCCTTTTCCTACTTCTTGGACACAGTCGAGTTTACCTAACGAGCTAACGAGATCAACCTATTAATGGCGGAAAAAAAACATACTTTTTAGCCTAATTCCTACGTCGTGTCAACGCGCCCATTCAACGTTACTGCACGACTCGTACAACGGAAACTATTTTAAATTAAACATTAAATACTATATTGTATTCCTTATTTTGAAGTGTAAGGCTGATTTAAGTATTAGATGTTAGGAGCGTTCAATTGTATGATCCGACTTGAAACAGTCAATACGTTTGTTTAATTAAAATATAAGTGTAATTTTTGCCTGACATCGTTTCTTGTTTACCGCATTTCAGGCCGATATAAGGCAAATATATGGCATTAAATATTTATCTTGATAAAATCTCGTAAAGAATTAAGGATCTAGTCTCCTTGAAATAAATATTGCATCAAGCAAAAAAAAAATATTTCAATATTATTTTTAGGTTTTAGGTTATTGCCAGAGATGACTATGAAATTTAACAATATTCAGTAGATTTGAAAAATAAGAAGTTCGTGACTATTATCAAATGAGTTTATAAAATTCGGAAATTTCTAGCTATGATCACATGAGTTGACGAAATTTGAAACTACTTAGTATCATTATATTACGTCAAACATCCATAGAATACTGGCTACAATAAACAACTTTCATTGTCCAAACAAGACCAAGTTTAGCCGTCTTTTGTGGATGCTAGGCGCCTTGTTTCTTCCTATCGGAAAAAATCTCAAAAATATAGTACATTGATAGGCCTTCTATTTCCTACCACTTCATTTGACCTAAACTATCTGCCCACAAAAATGCTCAGTATAATAAGCCCACTAAAGAGCTCAAAAAAATTAACCCACTCAAGTGCACAATACTATCAGCCCGCTAAAGCGCCCAAACTATCAGCGTCCTAAAGCACCTAAACTATCTGCCCACTAAGGCGCCCAAACTATCAGCCCACTAAGGCGCCCGAGATCAACATTTATCAGAGTGCAGAAAAAAAGAAAAAGGGGCGAACCCTTTTTAAGGGTTCGCCGCCCCTGCCTTTTTTAAGGCAGGGGCGAACCGCACGCGGCGATCAGACAACATCATTTAACATTCCGTCGTGTTTGAAATTAATTTAACCGTTTCATTTTATTCAAATCAACATCCTCCATCATACTAATTTTCAAGAATTGTCTCAATGAAATTAATTGGGGAGATTATTGATAATAAATCTTAAATACAACTTTGCGAACCTATTCATTGGCATTTCAAATTTTAAGCAGAATGATGTTCATCATGGATTTTATTGTCAAAAAGGATGGTTGTTATTGTTGTTGATTCGTTAGTTTATATATTTTAAATTTCCATACTTGTAGAATACAATTCAAAATTTGTACATGCCCAGCACAAAAAAGTTAAGGGTTTCTCGCTTTTAAGAACAGTATTCATTAAAAAAGTTAAAAGTCTCGTTAAAGTCTTAATATCTTCAAGCTGTTCAGCCCCACAATAACTCACGGAATTCAATCAAATAATACATAGTGAGTAATTCACGAAAAGCACTCATGATAGCCTTAAAAGTTAGGCAGTATATTTATAATTAATTGTAATTATTTATTTGTAATTATAATAATATTTCATAATTTGGGCAGTATTCAATATAATTGTCTAAACTCGTCATACCACGAACTACGGACCCCACTGATAAGACGAAATTTGCCATGTAATGATATACTGTCATCCAGGTAAGGCAAACAGTCCCATAAGTAAGTTAAAACAGTCCCCTAGGTAATGCAAACAGTCCCATAAGTAAGTTAAAACAGTCCCCTAGGTAATGCAAACAGTCCCATAAGTAAGTTAAAACAGTCTCCTAGGTAAGGCAAAACAGTCCCATAAGTAAGTTAAAACAGTCCGCTAGGTAAGGCAAAAGGGCAGAGGTGCAAGAGACTAGCGGGCATGGGCAGAGGTGCAAGAGACTAGCGGGCATGGGCAGAGGTGCAAGAGACTAGCGGGCATGGGTAGAGGTACAAGAGAATGACTGACATTGGCAGAGATATAAGAGACTGATGGCATGGTCTGCGTTGCACGAGACTGGCTGGCATGGGCATCAAAGAACGAGACTGGTGGGCATAGGCAGCGTTCCAATAGATCACTAAACAAAATTTGCTAGTTTCTAATATGGTGCTAGTTTCTAATATGTTGCTAGTTTCTAATATGTTGCTAGCTTCTAATATGGTGCGCATCATATTTTTAGCTTATGATAATGCGTTGATTCACTTATCTTAACTTCAAAAACTTCACTGACTTGAGGTAGTATTCATATGTTGCATTGCCAGTCCCTGCTGTGGCATTCAACTCGAGGAGGGAGATCTTTAGGCAGGAATACGTGTTGTCTTCCGCAGATCCGGATTTCAGGTACACGTTCGCCGGAAAAAAAGACTTGATCTGTACGAAAATAATTAAGAGGAGATCATTATGTGTCGCGTAAAAACAGTAGTATCGAATTAAATGCGGTATAAAACTTTGTGTTTTTTTTCTGTTGCAAAGCGCGACAGTTCATGGCATAAAATCATTAAAAACCATTGTTGTTTATTTACGAGAAATTGAATGTTATGATGTAAAAACTGCCACTATGTCCTAAAACGGAGTACCATGTCCTAAAAGTTGATACCACGTCCTAAAATTAAACACCGTGTTGTAAAATTTAACACATCTCCTATAACTTAGGAGACTCATGTCCTAAAACACCATGTCCAATAACTTAACACTATGTCGTGAAATTTAACACCATGTCCTAGAAGTGACACCATATCCAAACACTGAACACCATATCAAATACTCAACACCATGTGCTAAATATACTATATCATAGATTTTTAGGTCGTTTAATTGTCATGTCTAAAAATATTTCATTACATTAAATTTCATGTCTTAAAGCCCTGAAATATCTTCAATTATTGACTATCTGCCATATTATTATGAATAAGAAAAAATATTTGTCCTGAAAACTTAAATGCTAAACTTAGAGTTGTTTTTAGCACATGGATATCATATCGTACAACTCTACATACTTATATTTATACTTATTATATATTTATACTTATTATATATTTATACTTATTATATTATATATATTTTATTATCATTATAACCCACCTCAGCGTTAGCCACGGTGACGTTGGGAGAGGTGGTGTTGTCAGCCGTAATGGCAGGGCACGGCCAAAAGAAGGCGTTGGCTGACGATGTCAGCAACGCGACGATGGCGCTGACGAAAAGCAACTTCATCTTGATGGGCTGATGAAAAAAAAAAATATTTCGGCTGCATAAATCTTTTGTTGAATCTTTAGAATTTTAGTGAGTAATTAGCATGAACTTCACTTGTGACAAAGCAATTTATACATCAGAACTATCAGAAGTTTTGCATTTATTATAATAAATGAGACGAACCACCAAAAGTTTTGCTTTAATTATGTATAATAACTGAGACGATACGCACCGATTTGCACTGAATCTAAGAAAAAAGACGATACGCAATGAACGTGCGAACTACGCAATGATTAAAATTGAGCGTAGATGTTAATATGAGTTTTATTGTATTATTTCCAGATATTCTTCTTAATTCAGTATTGTATTTTATGTGCCTCTTGCTCCATTATCCCCTGTTCTTATTTTATATTCGTTAATTAGACCTCTTTCTGTTCCCCGTTTTTATTTTTGAAAAAATATGTATTTCAAAAGGACCATTCAACACCTCGATAACAACTACTCCCTCAGTACTGTTCTGATTATTTTAAATATATATGATTCCAATTATTTTACATAAAATTCCAATTATTTTAAATATAATTCCAAATTTTTTTCAAAAGAATCCCAAGATAAAATCAATGAAATTTAACACACACAATTTTTTGCTTGGGAAGATTGCTAGGGAATACATATGTCCCGTACGGCCCCATTTCTATTTTCTTTCCAACCAAACATACATAATTTATTTCTTTTCGAAATTTCATCATATTGGCTTCATGATAAGAGTTTCTATAAAGCATATAAAGTTTCTATAAAGCCTTGTGCCCGGGACATTCCTTGTTAAAAACTATCAAAATTCTCTTCGGAATTCAATCGACCAGCTAGGTGACTATTTTTGCACCATTTTATGAATTTTGAATTAGTTTTAAAATCAATAAAACTCGAATGATCGCAGGAAAGCTTCGCTAGACTAATATAAAATTCAGTAACATTTCTCAAATTGAAAATTTTTCAAGACATTTTACGGCACGTTCTTTTAAATCACCTTTATTCTCTGCATTAAATGCTGTTTACGTTGCCATCAGTGGTAGATATAATGAGATGCACCGTGATCTTGATGTGTTCAGTGCCTCTCCCTATATGTTCAGGATAAACATTCAAACGAAAAACATACATTGACAAAAATATTTTATTAATAGTTTTAAAGCATTTGCGTATCCAATTTGTTGATGAAAAATTAGTATCTTTAATCTTGGCAAAGAATAAAAATGCTCTAATCGAATTATTTCTGTTCCTGAAACTCACGTCACTTGAGCATATATAGAACATTTTCCAATTATTTTAAATATAATTCCAATTATATTTATATTCTTAAATATAATTCCTACTAGCAGCAATTGGCTGTATTTCAGAATTTGGTAAAAATTTATATTCTCTATAATTATTTTCAAACATATTTATAAACGTAATTATCTCAACTAAAATATAAAGAAAATTTAATCAAACCAAATTTAATTTTCCCGATTAACGGGAGAACAGGCAGGCCGCTTTTTAATAATCAGTATTCACTTCTACTTAATGAACCTTTTCGGTTGTTAGCGCTGTCACGGCTATTTATAAACATCTCTTCTGATGAAAAACTGTAAGTTAGATCATATACGACTTTGATGCAAAATTTAATACAGGTTTGAAAAGAACAAGAGGAATTTTTCTCTTATAGTATTAATTGATCAAAACCCTACGACTTTAAATAACCTGAACGGTCTCAAACTTCTAAAAATAATTTTTAATCTTAATTTTCGGCCTTAATTTCCAGGTATAAAATCTCCACAATTCAATATGGCGAAAAAATATTAATAAATAATAATTTCGTAAAAATTTATTTCGGTTTATAATATAGGAACATTATTCACAATTCAGAAAACAGTTGTTTTTTTCACTAGCTGTTTGTGATAAAATTAGAATATGCTGATTTGAAGATCTATGAACGAAATTCTGAGCAATCTCAAACAGTTTACTTCTCCTTTTCGGAGCTCGATCGTTCGTCTGAAANAGTACAGAGTATGAACCGTACACGTCTCCGGTGTTGGTCTTCATCTCTGCTTTGTTCTGGTAGTTGCCAGAGACCGCGTCCTGTACTTCGTACTGGTAGCTGTATGGTATGATGGGGTAGCTCTGCTGCACCTACACAACGGTAAAAATATTGTACATTAATGGGTTGTTAATACATTAATACAAAAATTATGCCAATTAATGGTTCATTAACACATTATTACAAAAATACTGCACATTAATGGGTCATTAACACATTAATACAAAAATACTGCTAGTTAATGGGTCATTAATAGGGCGACATCATCACTGAAAATTACTTAAAATTCGCACAATTTTTATTGCACCAAAGGTATAATTGCTAATATCGTTCAAATGGTGACACACTTTTTCAATCGCAGCACCAACAGATTGCGGACGTAGCCCTCATAGGCACTATTATCAAGGCAAACTGAGACACGAAAAGGAAATTAATAATTATTAATATAATTATTAATTATTAATTAATAATTAATTAATATTAATTAATATTTAAACTTCGATATCTTTCAGTGTATGCTGGTGAAATATCAGTATGTGCATATGCAACATATTAGTAAAGTTTAGTGTAGGGTGGTTAAATATCAATACGCAACATGTTACACCATCGCCGCACAGCACCACATCACTACCACCAACTGTCAAAGGAAAATACAGGAATTTTAAAGACTAGAATCTATTTTTCATATATTTCTATGTGAATTTATTTTTGATAGGGTGCATCAAAAAAATGATTGTCACAATTTAAGTAAAATTATTCAACAATAAAAAAAAATTCAAATTCAATATTCAAATTAAAAAAAATTATTCAATATTCAATCAACCTGAAAATGGTAATATACTTCAAATTATTCAAATTGAAAATAATTAATTCGAGACAATTTTTTCTAATCTTTTTTGAAACGTTTCTCATGTTCTAATCGAATGGTAGTTTCACATGTTAAAAAAAAATTTTTTAGCGCATTTTCTCATTTATGGAAAAAAGGCGCTATTGTGCTCGTCATGTCCGTCCGTCCGTCCATCTGTCCGTCTGTCTGTCCGTGACTTCAAGGACGGACTAGAAATGCGCTCTCTGTCACTCACTGCAGTAAGTACTGATCTAATTTTTTTTTATAAATATAAACGTTGATAGGCACGCAAGTTCCCATCATCAATTAAAATCAAGTTTTTAATCACGTACTATTAAAACAGCTGATCTTAATTTTAATTTCTTCATTATAGTAGCCTTTATAGTAGCACTGTCAACGCCTAAAAATTCATGTAAACTTGAAGAATTTACTTCAAAACGATTATTTTCGAAACATGTTGAATCAGCCCATCTGTTGACCGTGGCGACCAAGCAACTTGCAGCTAACTGTTCAAGGTTCATACTTTCAAAAAAGTTAAGAGATCGTAAGTTCATCAGCCAATCATTGACGGCCTTTCAAGCAAAATCCACCAATCATAGACAAGAAAATAGAGCGTAAGTANATGACGGCCTTTCAAGCAAAATCCCTCAATCATAGACAAGAAAATAGAGCGTAAGTACTTACGTTCACTTAATAATAGACAAGAAAATAGAGCGTAAGTACTTACGTTCACTTAGCGAGTTTTGAAAGTACGGCCCCTGATGCAGATCATGTTGATTGCTTCACGTATTATTATTATTATTAGTAGTATTATCAAATTGGGCTTCAGCATTAATATGAGAAGTTATTAATGAAAGAGAACAGCAGAATAACAGAACACGAATGAAATTATTAGATAAAAATTATTTAAAAATTAGATAAAAACTGCATAAAAATTAGATACAAAGTGGATAAAAATTGAATGAAAATTCGATAAAAAAAATTAGATAAGAATTTAATAAAAACTAGATAGAAATCAGATAAAAACTAAAAAATAATCATAAAAATTAGCTAAAAATTAGATAAAATTCTGTAAATACTGTATTTGTCAGAAGCAGTGTACATAACCTGTATCCAATGTTTGTTTAGTACATCAGCTTGCAATTTCAAGGGAATTATTGCTAACAAAATGATATAATTTTAAATATTATCATGGGTGCAATACTAATTTGATTTTTTTAAACAGAACTACAGTTGATGATGTGAAGCGATGAAGCCGTCGAGTGCTCGGCAAGTTGTGCGTACAAAATTCTTACTTCCATATTAATAATATAATTTAAAGAAAAACTAACGTTGCCCTCACTAATCCTACGTGTTACTATAGACCAGCGAACGCTTCCCTCACCCTACGTGTTAATATAGACCAGCGACCCTCACTTCCCCTACGTGTTACTATAGACCAGCGAACGCTCCCTCACTTATCCTACGTGTTGCTATAGACCAGCGAACGCTCCCTCACTTATCCTACGTGTTACTATAGACCAGCGAACGCTCCCTCACTTATCCTACGTGTTGCTATAGACCAGCGAACGCTTTCCTCACTTACCCTACGTGTGACTATAGACCAGCGAACGCTCCCTCACTTAACCTACGTGTTACTATAGACCAGCGAACGTTTCCCTCACTTACCCTACGTGTTACTATAGGCCAGCGAACCTCACTTTACTCCCCTAGCTGCAATTTCCCTTACCGGATTCACTGGGCTAGTGAAAAAATCTGCACACTTTGGGATAAGAGCGAGTCTTTCATAAAATATTTATATACTTTTCGCCTATGCAAGGGTCATCGTTACCAAGCTTGGACCGGCAAAAAGTTGTATTGGTGTTACTGGCGGATAGCGTGCCATTATTTGGACAATATGACCAGTAAACTTCTCTTAGTGTGCTATCAAATATACGTCGCTTCTTTAGTATATTCCAGCACCAGACAATACCACCATTAATCACTCACCATGGAAATGCAGCCAAGTTTCATTATAATAAATTTCGAGTTGACAAGAACGGGCAAGGCGGAGACGCGGTGTGAAAGCTGGGGAAGCTTCGGGTTCGTTCGAAGGGAAAGGCGAGACTCGACTGACGCTTAGGGCTCCTTGACTGCTGTTATATAGTGTGTGTTGACCTCTTAAATGGTGCGAGGTGACCTCTTAAATGGTGCGAGCTGACCTTTTAAATGGTGCGAGCTGACCTCTTAAATGGTGCGAGCTGACCTCTTAAATGGTGCGAGCTGACCTCTTAAATGGTGCGAGCTGACCTCTTAAATGGTGCG